TATCAAATTTTTGCTTATCATAGGACAAAATGGCATTACTCTCATTTAACTTCTTTCCTTTCAAATCATTTTGCTTTTTGTAGCAATCTTTTGTAAAGTAACCCAAATTATCACAATAATAAAATTTCTTTCCCTTTTCCTTAGTTTTGGATTTCATTTTATCATTGTTTCTTCTCTTAGGGTCATTTCGAAATTTTGAATGAAAATTAGATTTACCAACATTTTTGCCTTTTATCAAAAGATTTTATCCACTTTGTTAGTTGAAAGAATCTGATTTTAATTCAAGAACCCTATTTCTTAAGGCATTTATAATAATTTCTGTGGTAAGCTTATCTCTCCCATATTCTAAGGCATTCTTGAGGTCTTTATGCCTATCACTAATGGAGTTTAACAAAATCACGGCCTACTGATCTTCTGATAGTTTCTCATCACAGTTGGCAAGTTCCTTGGTCAATTTTGTAAAGCTGTCCAAGTTCTCATCTAAGTCAACAGAAAGATCCATTTTGAAAGAAAAGAATTGTTTTATCAAAAAACATTTGTTTGAAACAGTTTTTGATTCACATATGACTTTCAATTTAGTACACTTCAGTAGTTTTAGTTTCACACATAGACCTGATCACATTGTTTGAAAGGTACAAAAAAAAGTACTCCATGCTATTTCTTCTAACTCAGTTCTTTTAGCAACAGACATTTCAACAGGCCAAGAATTATCTAAGGCTTTAGCACATTTCATTTGCATCAAGATAGCCCTCATTTTCTGGCTCCACATATTAAAGTCCCCCCTCCCATCATACATGCTCACTCCAAACTTAGCAGTAGTCATGACAAGATTTACCAAGATAGTTCGGAGAACACAAGTTTGATTTCAAGAACACATAGGGATACACAATAAGAATACTACAGGCAGAACATGGGATTTGGGGTCAGTGACCAATGAACTTATATTATTTTCAAAAAACAATAAACACTTAAACTAAGTATAGAGGACAGAATCACAAAGAACAGAGATAGCAATCCTATGCCTTAACTAACTTTTCCAGCAAGACCTTCCAATTGCACTCTACTAATGTTGTTATCTTAGATTCCCAATACTTCTTGAATCTATAAACAAAGACCAGCCACAGTAGGTTTTGTTAGTACAAGGTAAATCAAGAGAAAATTTAGGAAACCCTACTGTAAAGATAATTACATAATACAAGAAAGATCCCATCAATGAGTTTGATAATACTCAATTTCCACGGCCAATTTTTACTGCAATTTGAAACAGGTTTCTGAATCCAATCAAGTCATAGTAATTAAAGACACTCTAGTAGTCCAAGATTGCTCTGATACCACTGAAAAGTAACACGAATTCACAAACCACAATATTAACAGTAATAAAAGTATAGTAAAATAAAATCAACACAGAGATTTTTTCGACCGAAGTCCCAAAGATTTGATGACCACTTCTAATGTCTAATCCCCTATTGAGCATCCATTAAAATGGATAAAGCTTGGTTGCACTATAAAGCCCTAAAAATTGACAGCAAGTATACAATTTTGTTCCAAAATATTACAAAGTAATAAGTGACAAAGATTTATTTTATGAAGAACACCAAATAATCGGCCACTATTCCACACTAGAACCGGCCAAGATCACAAAGATCTCACAAGCAACCAAACTGTCATCTCTCACATAACAATTATAAGTGCTTCTTTCACAGCAAGTAACATTCCACCAAGGAACACACCAAACCAGCCACTACCAAGATCACTAAGATCTCACAAGAAATCGAGGCAAAACTCGAATCCCACAGATTCAACTCATCCAAAACTAAAATAGTACAATACCCATATGGATCTACAATATTTCTTGATGTTAATAGATTTTTCTTTCATAAATTACTCCAAAAAACAAGCCCTAATCTCACTAAAAAGAAGGGGGGTTTGAATAGAGGAGAGAGAGAGAGATGAAGGGGCCAAATCTGAGAACTAGTGGTGAGAGAGAGCGTGAGTCTTCCAAAAAAGGGGTAGCCCATAAGTCAAAGACCATCCATTTTAATCATAGCCACACAATGTAATCCAATGGCTCAAATCCCATTTCAAGTAGCACAATCCAGGTAATAATGGAGCAGCCAATAATCAACAGCCACATGCTGTCCTAATTCACTTTTGGCCGTTTGAATTCTTTGGTGTCATCTGGAATTCTCTCTGATCATTTTCAACCTTTGATTGGATGATTTCTTGTGGTTTTCTAAGCGAAAAGTGACTATGTATTCTTTTGAGTGAGAAGAATGTGTGGTTTCAAGTTCGATGTCTTTTGTTCATAAAAGCAATGTAGATTGAACCGTTGAGGGGTTTGGGTTTGAGGATTATGGTTTGTGCATAGGAGTAAAATGTTTTAAACCGTAAATCATTAAAATCTGAGATGCCTTTGGTTGTAACTTGAGTTTTAATATTTGATATAAACATTTTGTATAGTTTGGTTCAATTTTTTCCTAATAGTTAAGATAAAAAAATTACTTACCAGATGTCGCTAGTTGCTTTATATTTGTTCAAAATGGTTAGGTCGATTTATACAACAAATGGTGACAGGTTCAAGTTCAACAACTATATGCTTCTTGGCCAAGCTTTTAGATCTCATTTATTAAATTGGATGGTTATCACAGTGTTTAATGCACAGTTTTAAACAGTAATGGAGAGTTTAATAAATTGTCCCACAACTAAGTAGCAAAAACAGTGGTTGTGACTTGTGAGATATTGTTGTTGAGTTGTGATACCAACATGGGGCAATGGTGATCCAATATAACTTTGGACCTTTGTGGTCCAACATGAAGACACAAAAACAAAGGCCAAGTCCACCAAGGAAAAGCCCAACTAAGCCCATGTTTGGTGTGAATAAAATTATATTTATGGTAAATTTTGATAAAAATTGATAAAACATGCGAGTTAAAAAGTTTAGGTCCCTTGAAATATGTTGTTGAAAATTAGTTTGAAAAAAAAAATGAATTTTTAAAAATAAAGACCAAGCACATGTTATTATGAGATTGTTACTCTATTTTTGTCACTTAAGATGCGTTTGATTGTCAATATTTTTTCATGGAAAATTTTTATTTTTCACCAAAATTCCTACTTTTATACCGTTTCATTGATTTTTATTTTTTTTTCATGGGAAATATTTTCTTACTCTTAATCACGTGATCATATTTTTCTCAAAATTAAGGAAAATATTTTCTTTAAATGGAGTGAGATTTTATTTTTTAAGGAATTCACTCTCTCTTTCTTTCTCTTATCTACCCACCAATAAAAAATGGACAAATCTAATATTTTCTAGGTTGAAAATTAAATCAATCAAACACATTTAATTGACAATTTCCATGCAAATAAATTCTAAGCAAGTGAATTACCTATAATTTATTTTCTTTCCATACAAATTTCATGCTTACAATAAAATGCACCCTTGTGTCATTTTTTAAATCCGTTTGGATCATGGGAATGATCGACAGCTGGCGTTTGGTCCTATTTTTGTTGATCCTATTTTGAATAGTTTTTTTCTTTTCTCCCCTCCCCTCCCCCTCTCTGTGTGTTGATAAACGGATAAATGACGTAACAATTATGGTACAAATTGTATTCACTCGGAGAATATAAAATTCACCGTCTTCCTCTTAAAAAATCGTTTAAGGGCCTGCTTGGAGATTTTTGGGTATCGATTATGGGGTTTTTTAAAGGAATTATTCTTGGAATACATTACCCATTACATATTATATGCCCCCTATGTACCCCCAAGAATAACCCTTCTTAAAGCTCTGTTATTGGATGATTTTTTGCAAGATTTTTAAAATAGACCCCAACCAATGCTTGGAAAAAAAATTCTTCCGTTTAAAACAAAAAATTGCATATGTGCCCATATAAAAGAAATGTAGGTATTTATAAATAATATGGAATAAATATACATGTCACTCTTTACAAGTCAATATGACTTTACATATTTTATCCAATCATTTTCTATTAGGTCTGGACCAATCTTTGAAGTATATATGTGTGTGTACACACACACACACATGCACATATGTGTGTGTATTTGAATTAGCTCTTGCATGCCAATCATTTTATATTGAATTATAAGATAAAGAAATTTTAATATAATTGTTAAACTAATTTCCATGAATAGGTATCTAAGATCTTTCTACTAAATATTTCATAAGGGATGACATCTAACCCTTTTTTTTTTTTTTTACTTGGTGAAATTTTCAATTCAAATTTATTGAATAAAATTTTTCCACTCATAAGAATTACTTTACATATAAATATTTTTTTACATATAAGTTAATTTTTAACTTAAAAATAAAATTTTTTAATTATTATATGTTTTATTTATGCACAACTTTTTGCGTGTAATTGAATTTTTATCTTGTAAGTGTTTATTTACTTAAAATACTTCTTAAGAGATGACATCTAAAAAAAAAAAAAACTATTAGTCATTTACTTATCAAGATGGAACGGCTTCTTACTATCTTACGAGTTTCAATTCCAACTTGGTGCTTTTCTATTTATATCTACTTTTTTGTGCAAGGACTTTATTTTAGAGGAAATAATAACCATTATCTCACAATTTATAGTGCTCTCCTAAGACGATTTTGAGGGCAGGACCTTGGAGACTCCATTACTTTATGGTGTTGAGGTCGTCTCCGCTCTCTCAAGTCTTATTCTCTCACACCAGATCACATGGTTAGGGCCAAGTAAAGTTTAATTTATTATTTATATATATCGACCATAGTTTAAGTCAAGCTTGAATAATTTGGTCAACTTGTAATGTATTTGATAACTGAACCAACAGATTCTTAGTGAATTTATATCAAGGTTTACTAGTTTAAAAAATCAATTTTAAATTGGACTTGTTACCATTCTTGGATAGATGTTGAAACAGCTTTCAAAGATTCATGTTGAACTTGAATCTAATTTTTATGTTTTACCTTAAAATATATTGTTCGATCATTTCTAGTACTGTATGCCAAACATCATAAACTAAATCAAAAACACTAGATAACATCTTCCAAGCTTAGGGTTGTGTTGTTCTTACACGAGTTTAAGTCGTTACTGTTTTTAAACTTGCAACAACTTTGGAGCTCGACGTCCTTTTGGAAAACTGTAAAAAGTTAAAAATACGTAAGTCAATTTTTGTTATTTAGTCGTTCAACTCCAGCAACAGCTCCTTCTCTACGCACTTCGTCTATGGTAACCTCACAAATTGAATGTCCGTTAATGGTGCCATCATCTGTAATATTCACCATTTGCTTCACTGGAATTTCTTGTTCTTTCATTGCTGGAGACTTGTGGTCATTTTTCTTACCCCAGACAACAAAATAAAGGCCCAAAACAATAACAATTGCTCCAAACAACCTGCATAAATATACGTATCACATTATTCATAAATTTATCTCTGTCGACTTAGTTTTCGTTGTTAAAATAAGTAATAAAAACAAGAGGAAAAAAAGTTACCATTAGAAATTTTATTTCTAATTAAATATAATAATTTAACACAAAGTTTTCTGTTTGTAATATAATAAAATATTTTGATAAATTTTTGTATTAATAAATAATAAAATTAGGTTAAAATCATAATTTATTTGTCGATAATTATAAATAAGAAATGAAAATTAAAAGATATCTCAAGGTACATACGAAATATTCTATTAGTAAATTGTATAAAAAATTAAAACTGAAATAAAAACTAAATATTTGTCTATGACAAACGAATTTGTCAGTGGTTGCTGACAAGGTTGTCATTAATATCAATGTTGGAAGCATGTTTATATATATATATATATGGGTCCCCAAATTGTTTGAGCCGCTTCCGCGCATGGACACCATATTTATTCACATGAGCACCCACAATCGAATCATACACGGGCTGGTAAGTGTCTTGATAAATACTGCATACATAATCCAAGTGCATGTCCAGTAAGAAGTGTTAATTTATAATACAACGTCGAACTAAAAAAATTTAAAATCTTTTTTAATTAATATTGTAAATATTATGCAATATTCCGTATTAAAAGATCGAAAAGAAAAGAAAGCGAGGGGTTAGTAACTACCTTCCTAAGTACATTTTCTCGGCCAAGATGAAAGAGCTTATGATGGCAACAACAACCATGCTCAAAGGGCTAAAAGCAGTTACAAACACCGGACCTCTTTCTTTCATTACAAGTCCTTGGACGTAATAAGCAATTCCAGAACAGAATATACCCTACAAAGAAGTTCAATTAGATGGCATATATTTATTAATTTAATGGATAATTAATTAATATATTTATTCCTTCAGAATGTGTATGTCTTACACTGTAGACTGCAGCAAGGAGTTTGTAATCCCAGCCTATGGACCAAACCGCCGTATTCCCCCTCTCGACTGCTACTGCCACTATTGCTCCTTCAATTGTTCCTAAAAAGCATATCCAGGCAGTGAGGGAGAGTTCGGCTGGATATGTCTTTAGTGTGACGGCCTACAAATACAAAAGACAAGTTATATGTAATTCGACTGTACAATATAATAAGCAGGACAGGCCTCCGGGGCATAGCCCAGTGGTGCAAAGGACAGGAGTGAAGTTATCTCACGCCTTTCTGGCAACCGCAGTGTGGGGGTTCGATTCTTGAAACATGGAATTGGACTCCTTGTAGGCACAGTATATGTGCAGCTCTTTTTTCCTGGCCTACTGGGGCACATCCCGCGATTTACTTCCCTCACAAAGCTCTAGGGGCAGAGCGGTGGAGGCCCTCAAGGTTGGGGTTCAACCTTTTTTTAATAAGCAAGATTAAAATTTTTAATTATTACCTGCAAAATCATGAAGCAAGCCCAACTGAAACATCCTATTGTGATCATGATGGAGCCCTTGATTGAATGCTTAAGAGTTACTCCATTATTTTGGTTTTCATGGCTGCTTCTTCCATGTGTCCATGGCAGGCCAATATCCGGGCCTCTTACTAATGTCATGATCATTGCTCCTGCAACGGTAGCAATCGTTCCGACTATCTTGGCTTGGCTACGGATGCTCATTAATTGTACCTTCTCTAGCCTAGAATATATAGGTGCATTTAACGATTTAACATAAGATTACATTATCGTATCAAGAAATCCTTGCCTTGCGATAATTACCTGAAAAAGCAGGCCATGAGGAATGTAATGGCAGGAAGAACATTTGCCATTGCAGAAGCAAATGTTGCTGTTGTGTATTTCATTCCCAAGAAGTATAGGTTTTGATCTATAACTGGCCTTTTGTTGGAAAAAATGTAAAAGCTTATTATATAACACAATTTATTGCATGTGATATGCCAGGAAGTGAAAACATTCATATTTCGCTACTTACTCCAGTAGGCTCATAAGCATTAGTTTCCCAAATGTTAGGAGGGTCATTCTTGGCCTTACTTTCCTGTAAAATAATACTTGTGTTTGGTTTGATACAAATAGACGTAAACGTACATGTTTATACGTGTAAAATAAGACTCGGTATGGCACATGCAGACATACATACACGTTCAGAGGCAGAGTTAGGACTCGACTAAAAAAAAATTTTATTCTTAATTTGGTAATTTTGTCCATAATCAAGTAGTTTGGGGGGTTATGTTTGATAAATAGGATTTGACATCACGATGGGCCAAAAATCTCACACTTGTCCCTTTCTTAGTTACATCTAGTCTTATAAAATTCAACATACTGAACACGAGAATAAAAAAACGAGAAAGAGAGAGAGAGAGAGAGAAACTTGTCGAGGATGACCGCAAAAGGGGCAATAACAAGGAAGGCTACGATGTGCCGATAGACTACAAATACATAATTGCTCATCCCCTCATTTAATGCAGCTTTAGAAGCGATATCCATTCCAGCAAGCCCAACTTGTAGGAAAACTACAGCTAAAAAGGGTTTTGCCCTACGAAATAATACTTGAAACTTCATTTATCTTCTTGTAATTAATTGTAATGTACCACCTTCGACTCAGTTTCGATGTAACCTGTAAAATTATCCTTGTAATGCATTAACAATGTAAATTAACGCACAGAACACACATTAAAACACTTGAAAACACCATTCAACTGTTGTACGTACATGCAGAAATTTTAGCTGGAAGTTTTACCTTCACTCTAAAATTTAGCCCAACAATATCAGTGCAAACTAGACATGATTTTCTCCCTCTCTTCTTCCCAGAACCATTTCTTCAACTTGTGCTGAATTTAATTTATCTTTTTTTTCTTTCTTTCTGGATTAATGTTATAGAAAGCATGGGGGGCAACAGCTATCTTATATAAGGAGAAGAGCTGCCTGGTCATGGGTTATAGCAGCTTTATACGTATCTTTCAAACTCCTTTTTTCTCAATAAATAAAAATGGTAACTTCTATATTTTTCACTGCCACTAAATTTAGCGATGCCCTTTTACTTTGAATTTTGATGGATGTACAGGGTCGGTTCTACAGAATTTTCACAGAGTCCTCACATGATGCGGACATGGGATCCACCTCATTAAAAAATTACCCCAGAATTCCCAGCCCCACCCCATGTTTGTCTATATTTGTAGAACTCCAACCTGGTAACCCAACACAGCTCTTTTACTTTAAGTCTTAATAATGGTATCCCTCTTGTTACACAAACTATTGTGAGATGTAGCGTCCTTGTTTGGCATAACTTAAAAGTTGATAAAATTTAAGTTACAAATAACAATTAATTTTTACACCACATTTCACATAATCGAGAGTGAAAAGTTATGATACCACTTGAAGGTTCTATTTAGTGAATTTATTTGATCCAACGTAATGAATTATACAATTAAAAGCAACAAGTCACTTTTTAATTATTTCTAAATGATTAATCATACACGACAAATTATTCTACGTTGAACTGACATAGTTTGTAATATGAAAGTAATAAAGAACACAAGAATTGTTGACAAAAATATCCAACTGGGTAAAACTTTAGGACCAAGCCAATAACCTTCATTATAGACAATGATGAACTCACATTATGATCCAGTCTAAAAAATTTCACTAGCTTTGCTAATCTACTTCCTGCAATCTCCAAAACCCGCTGGAACGTGTTTCACTTATACGTGCGATCTTCTCGAATTGTCTATATCCTGTGGATCACCAAAAACACCTTGTTTTTGTACTCTTCCCCTGCTTCTAGTCTAACCTCCCTCACTTTTCAACAATCTCTGAAAACTATTGAGAAAGTATCTTCCTTTATGTGTATAGGAAGTGAGTATTTTGGATTATATGAAATTGATGTTTTTCCCAAATATGTGATTGTGTGAATTCAAGAATCAATGGATAAATTAATGACTTGAATGTGTTCTTGAATATATGAATGATGATATGAAGAAAGCATATAATGAACAACCGCCCCTAATTTATGTTAGGGCAAGGGTATATATAGTAGAAGACATATTAGGTAGCATGGGGTAGTTGAAATCCTTGAAAAACACGAACTAGAATTTTACGTGTAACACCGTCACTCTAGCGATAGGCGAGCTACTAGTGTGTCACTCTAGTGATAGCTCAACGACAAGCGGGTGACAAGGTTATTATTTTTCCCGCTTGAGCATTAATTGGGTGACAGGCTAGCGTAAATCCGGCAGCTCTTTCCTCCTTGTTCCGAACTCGAACACTAAGTCACCTATTTCATCTATACAACATTTTAATTGACTCCTTGACTTTTACAACTTTTCATAGTAGTCCTTTTATCTAAAGAATTGTCAAAACAACATAAATCCTAACAATCTCCCTCTTTGACATTTTGTGACAAAACTATACAACACAATTCAAGGAAGCAAAACAAATTAATCTACCCAAACCCAATCTAAATGTCAATCTCTTGCATTCCTTGTTAAAACTTGTTTCCTGAAATCAACAATTCAAATACCAAATGTAAAAGCACGTCATATAGGAAATATAACAATTGAAACACATTATCATAAAAATGCTAGCTAGAATGAGAATTAGTACTAATGTTAATCAAAACACTAACTGAAACACTAATATCAGCAAACATAAAAAAACTCAAAGAAACTATACATTATGATATGGAATGTCATGATTGAAAAATACAATCATCTCTCCCCCTTAGCACAAACTCTCCAAAAATTGCAATCAAGTGCAAATGCAAATATCAATCATCTCTCTCTCTTAATACAAACTTTCTCAAAAATGCAAACCTCTTTATAATCTCTTCTCCCCTTTTCGTCACAAATGATGAAGGAAGCTTTATCAAATACAATTGAACATCAATACATAATAACTCAAAGATGCACTTGATAGCATGCACAAGCATACTTAATGATCATTAGACTTTTCCACATACTCGATTCAAGTTAAAATGAAGTAAATTGTATAAGTCACCCATATGTGTAAACTGTCACAATCATTTGAAAGCAGGACTCCAAACCTTAATTTTGTGATAAATGACATGCTGACCATCATCGTTGATAAGTTTATCCATCTACTTATGAAAGTCAAACCAATAAAAATATTAGAGCCTTTAAAAGAAGCTCATTTTGCATGTATAACATTCTTTTCTCCAACTAACTTTGAGCATATATATTTTTACACATTTTCTAATTTTTAAGCTTATCATTTTTCTCATCTTATGTTCATGATCTTCTCCATTGAGCAACTAAAATGACCACTATAACGAACTTTAGGTTGGTTAACCCAGGTCAATTGACTATAGGCACCAATTTATGAGAAATCACTTAGACTTAATTGCTCGAGTCAAATAGGCTCCGAAGAAGAGTGTGAGATTTTGAGTTTTTTTATTTCAAGGGAATATGTTTGAGCTTAGATCTACTAAAATAAGGTCAACTCATGTTCAAGGCCGCCTTGCAAACATGTGACCGCCATCCAAAATCTCACACATGCGATCAAGTCTCACTCACAATATCATAGTGTGTGCAATGCAGATGGTACATTAAGAAACCTATACTAAATACTTCATAAAAATCCAAACAAAGTAATAGAAAATATGCTACAATCCATCAACTAAACTCATAGTTTGTCATAACACACAAGTTTGGGTATATCATATATTATACTGTAGTTTTAGAAGAAAATTCACCCTCCCTCGGCTTTTTTTAACATGAATGCACCAATCAAAAAAATTCAACACACAAAACAAAAAAAAAAATGCATATGCCAATGCAAACTTGATGAAGATGCACTTACAAGAAACTACTACCTAAAAAAAAAAACGAAAATAAGATGCAGTAATAATGAGTGAATCGCAATATATAAGCACAAACATGCACCAGAAAATACCTAATTAGTTAGGTATATAAATGCTCTTACCTTTAAGAACATCTTGATCTATTTCAAGATTTTTCAGATCATTCTTCTTCACCCAAACTTGCTTAGTGAAAGAATTAATCCTGATTAATTGTGTCTTTAACTCAATCAATTGACTCACTTGATTAATGAGGAAGTCAATCAGGCTATTAAAATCTTAATTTTTATTTCTATTAAAGTGTATTTCTATTTTTGTTCAGGAATTTATAACACCTAGGCCTAATATGTCCTAATTCACCACAATTAAAACAAGCAGAAATAAACCTACGACCAAAGTTATGTGGTTGCTTATTTCTATTCCTAGGTTGGAAGGAGCTACGCTGTCTAGTAGGCCTTTGTCCTACGATTTCCTTATTCTTAGGTTCAGGGTTAGGATTGTATTTAGGCTGGTCAGTGGTAGGGATAAAAATGATCTTGGAAGTACTAGCAGCATTGTGATCATTCTCTTTATATCCTAGATCTCCCTTATTACCAGGGGACTTGTCCATTCCTAAAGTGTTAGCAAGCTTTACTAAACCACTAAAGAACTAAGGAGTTTGGTGTTGAAATACTCAAGATCGCTCATTAAGATCTTAACCTTATTTTTTAAAGACTCATTCACAATGCTCAATTCACGAAGTCGCTTAGAGGGCTTTTTAAGATCACTCATCAAGAGTCTTAACCTGATTATCTAAAGATTCATTCATAGAGTTTAACTTACTCAGGGATAAGGTAGATTCATGAAGGTCAGCTAATAGTTTTTCTTTTTCTAACTCAAGATCTTTGACCTTTGTATACAAAGCTTTATTCATAGTCAATATCATAAGGTTCTTGCTATACAATTTATCGTAAGCCTTATGTATGTCTTCTTCATCTTTAGAATCATCTTCAGATTGCTCAACACTATCCAAATCTTCAAAATTCTCACTCTCCTTATCCGGTTCACTTCTAGTCCTAGCAGTGAAGGCCATAAACTTTCCGTTCTCATCCCGAGTAGACTTTTCACTTTGATTATCCGAGTTAAACTCGTCATCAGTGAGAGTAATATTCATATATTTATTCCTATTTCTCTTACTGTTAGGACACTCACTCCGAAAATGGTCAAAACCTTGACACCTATGACATGTTATAGATTGAGATCTCTTTTTAGATTCATTGGAAGCGTCTATGTCTCTCTTGAGCTTCTCCTTATTTCTAGACATTTTTTAAAATTTCTTGATAAAATAAGCTATCTTCTCATCATTGGGTGACTATGAATAAGAAGACTCATTACGACTATTTCTAAAAGTGTTCAAGGCCAAATATTTATCTTTTGTTGGATTAGCTAAAGTTAGTTCATAAGTTTGGAAAGATCCAACCAACTCTTCCACCTTAATGGCATCTATGTCCTTACTCTCCTCTAGAGCCGTGATTTTAGGCTTAAATCTCTCAAGTAAGGATCTAAGGATTTTTCTAACAATCTTAGGCTCAAGAATTTCCTCACCTAAATAGAAGCTAAAGTTAACTATGTCATTCAGGCTCGAATAAAAGTTTTCGAATTTCTCATCCTCTTTCATCCTAATATTTTCAAATCTTATGGTCAGCATCTATAACTTAGAGTTCTCAACAGCTTGAGTTTCCTCATGTGTGGTTTGTAAAATATCTCAAACCTCTTTCGCAACCTCACATATAGACACACGCCTAAATTCGTCAGGTGACACGAGCATAAATAGTGATGGCAAAAATTCCCACCCCAATGAGTTGGCGCTACCATCACTGGCCATAAATAAAGCATGTAGGGCTTTACTATCCAATTGCACTCATAAATTTATCTTAAACCAATTAGCAATAGGAGTAGGGGTGATGACATCATTAACAGTGCTTGAAGGGGCAGTCTAGCCATTTATTACGCTCAACCAAATACGATCATCCATTGATTTTAGGAAGACTCTTACTTTAACTTTCCAATATACATAATTACTGCCATCAAAATA